CCAGTCACCTGGAGGGTCTGCAGCCCTGCTCCGACTGCCTGTAACAGTACTGCAGCCTCACTCTGGTGCCACGCAAGTGTCTGTCAGTATCAAAACCCAGGTATCCGCTGTTTCCTGCCAGCGCTGACTCTCCAACCATTCCTGACAAGTTTTCCAGACGTGGTAGAGGCGAACCACGAGGAAGGGCAGCCATCTTGTCTCTGTCCTGTGACCAGGTGTGTTTTTTCTGTGTGGGGGAGGCCAGGCACCATCTCAATTTGGTTCAGTGGCCAGAGCTTTCTCCTCATCAGTTGGTTTAAGCCAGTTTTATCAATATTGTTATTAACATTCTTCTTGGTAAAGAGTTATTTTTTCACTTGCATCTGGGCCTATTTGGTCTCTCTCTATATTGGAGAAACCAGGGGTATTGAATCACAGGGAGGAGACTTCTGTTCAAAGCCTGCACCTGCCCAAACCAAGACATTGTTTCAATGTTTAACCACTCTTTCAGTGAAAAAATTCTTCCTGGCATCCAATCTAAACCTCCTCTGTTGCAACTTGAGGCCATTTCCCCTTGTCCTGTCACTAGTTGCCTGGGAGAAGAGGCTGAGTCCCACCTAATCATAACCTGCTTTCAGGTAGTTGGAGAGAGAGAGAAGCTCTCTCCTGAGCCTCCTTTTCTTCAGACTGAACAACTCTAGTACCCTCAGCTGCTCCTTGTAGGAGTTACATTCCTTCCCCAGCTCTATAGCTCTTCTCTGGACACACTCCAGCACCTCAATCCCTTTCGTGTGGAACTGGACAGAGTATTCAAGGTGCAGCTTCACCAGTGCTGACTACAGGGGGACAATCACTTCCCTGGTCCTGCTGGCCACACTATTTCTGATCCCACCAGAACCATATTACCTTGCTGGCAAGCCCCAGCCTTCATTCCCACCTGCCCTGCTCAGCAGGTTCTGGGCATGATCACCCCAAGCACAAATCTTCCAGCAGGACTGAGCTCCCAGGGCTCTCTTGGCACAGCAGGCAGACACCCTCCAAAACTATAACTGAAATGAAAACAGGGCTGTAGGTGCTGACTTATCTAGAAAGGTGCAAAATTTTCTGGGCCAGGTGATTTGACTACCAGTTGCTTTGAAAAGGAGAGCTACATGCCACTGCAAAGAGACAAAACTCCTCCTCCCTCTTCTCCTCTTGGATTCCATCTGTCAGGGCAGGACTTAGCCCTTCAAACTCAAATGCCAGTTGAAAATTACAATCAAACCAAACGTCAACTGTGTCCCGGGCACAAGCGGAAAAGATCCTGCAGCTCCTGTCTCTGATGAACAACTTGCCCACTACAGTGCAAGTGAGGAGACTGGGGAGACCATTCTGGGGCTCCTGTCTCAACACTCCCCTGAGGTTTCCCCCATCAGTTCAGAAGAACCCACTGCACAGCACAGCAGAGCACTCCACTGCAGATCATGCCTCCCAGAAATGTGGCCTGTGTTGCATGAGGTGTCTGGGTCTCAAAGCATGTCCTCAAGCTTTCCTTAGCCGTGCTGCACATGTGCCAACACTGACATGGCTGACGTATTTCTGTCATTTGGCATGTGCAGAACCAGTGTGACTTCTTGCTGAAGCCTTCTGGAGGCAAAAAGAGGGAGTAGCAAGTGAATGCATGCCCTGATGTCTCTTTCTGTGCCAAGGCTCTCTTGGAGGTGGTGGGGACCTGAGGTCCCAAGCAGAGGGAACACAAAACCATAAAATCATTTAGTTTGGAAAAGACCCTTGAGATCAAGTCCAACTGTTAACCCAGCATTGCCAAGACCACCACTAAACCACGTCCCTAAGTGCCACACCTACATGTCTTTTAAATCCCTCCAGGCATGGTGACTCCACCACTGTCCTGGGCAGCCTCTTCCAATGTTTGACTACCCTTTCAGTGAAGGAAGTTTTCCTTTAAGCCAATCTACACCTCCTTTTGGGCAACTTGAGGCCATTTGCGCTTGTCCTATTGCTTGTTTCTTGTGAGAAGAGACCACCCCCAACCCCCAGAGCACTGATCAGATATGAAACTGAACTTGTTCTGGCACTGAGATCTGGAGAACACTGCTAGTGACTGGCTGCCAGCTGGATGTGACTTCATTTACCACCACTCTCTAGGCCTGGCCATCCAGCCTGTTTTTAAGCCAGCAAACAGCGCACCTGTTCAAGCCACAAACAGCCAGTTTCTCCAGGAGAATGCTAGGCAGACCAGATCCACATCTTTTCCCTCAGCCACTGCCAATTGCCATATTATTAAGCTAAGAAGCAGAATTCAGATTTCACGCTGAAGGAAAATCCCAACGAGCACTTGACTATTTAGTGGTTTATTCAGACAGTTAAAAACTGGGTTTGTTCAGCAGAAGTCACTGCATTTTAAAAATTTCATAAAAATGCTAAAATTATTGCCTTTGCCAAAAGAAAAAGAAACTATTAAATAAGTTTTGTTCATTTAAATTTCTTTTCTTTTTGGAAAGACCAGTCTCTGGGATGAACTCTAGTACTCTCAGCTGCTCCTCATAAGACTGATATTCCAGACACTTTACCACCTCCTTCTTGGGATACATGTTGAGGGACTGTAAAAATGGGGCTCTGCTCCAGATTTTCAGTATGCAGGTATTAATTTCTAGGTCCACTGCTTGTTCCCTTAGCCTGGGTTGGGTTTGCTTCGTTTTGTTTATACTGCTGTTGATTTCTGAAGATCTTAAATCAGAATAATTGTGTATAATTTACCTAAAGTAGAGTCAAACGCAACTTGAATCACTAATTTATTGTCATCTCATGTTTAATTGTGTTGTGCACATTGGTCCCACAAGGAATTGCTTGGGAAAACATCCAATCAACAGGTTAAAAAGGTAAGAAAGGAACATACATCTGCCTCACTGAAGGCACAGTACTTTGTAGGTAACTTTCCGAATGAGGACAACCAAGACTTCCATAAGCAGCAGTACCATACTGCTCTACAGCAGGAAGAGAAAGGACAATCCCTGACATCTTTCTTAGAATGGCCCATGTGAACTGCACCGTCACAAGGTTTTGTTGTCTTAAAGTACCATTTATCCGACCCTACAAGGTGGGGGGAGGGGAGATTTTTGTGTGCGCTATTTTTAATGGAGTGGTGGTGGAGCTGTGTGTTATCTAATCTAGTAAAAAACTGCATATCTTTTTTTCCTCTCTTACATAACTATCACATTTGATGGCAACACAGTGAAAGACATGAAAACTGGGATGCCTTTTTTCTTTAGTTAAATATGCCAAAGGTGAAAAAATACACCAAAACCAAAGCTTGAAGAATCAACTGTTACTTAAAGATTTAAGAATGTCAGCACTGGTTAACACCAAGGTCCTACTAGGATCAGTGCCATTTCCAACAGGGATAAAAATTGATGTCTAGAGAATAAGGACAAGGTGAATATATAGTCAGATTTCTCCCTAAGTAATCTCCCAGATTACTGACATCTCTACAACTGCTGAGAGCAGTGTAAAATGTCAGGCTCCCATCTATTCAGCCATCCAAATTTCTTCTTTCACTGTTTCAGTTTTGAAGAGAAAGATGATGGGAAAAACCTCAGCTCTCCTGCTCCAAGACCTCAAGGCTGGCAAAGCCATGAGTACTGGGGTCCTTTACATTAGAAATTATGAGAAATAGCCGTTTTTGCTGATTATACTCATAAGTGCTTGAATCATCAGTGTAAATGCTAACATATGAACTTTTATAGGTATCATTGAAAGCAGCAATGGTAGAAACGGGTTTTAATTTCTACTGTTTTAAATTTTTCCTGCACAGGACAACCTGACTATCCTTAATTCCAGTCCCACAAGCCCTTGAACTTTGTCCTGTTTTATTTTTCTACTCTATTTCCATAGGTAATCTAATTGGAAATGCAAAATAAATTATTGTTCTCTTTAACAGTTCAGAGTTTTACTTCTGTCCAGTTTCTCCGGCTATCTCCCTGATACTTTGTGAGGGGTCAACTCACACTTGCATGTCCACACCAGAATCCATAACCCATGAAAAGCATTAATAATAATGCAAAGCATTTTACATCATCCCATAACCATTCAAGTTCACACTGTAAACATCTCTTTTACTTTAATACTTAGAATCTCATTTCCTAACTCACTCCATTTTTTAATAGGAGACTATCCTATCCATGTTTAAAATATACCCACGGTCTCCTTATATTTCAATTACCATGACATCTTTTATCTTTTACTTTAGGACACTGTAAAGGCAAAGGATGTAGCTTAGAGTGGTTGAATGCAGACAAAACACCTGGATGTAAATCCAGACGTGTCTGGTTATTTCCAGTCAAGGCATCTTTGCTATAGCTCTCTTAACAACCTTCAGCATCATCCTACAGCCTGTCATAGATGGAATACAAATATAGCTTTGTTCCTTTCATAAGGCCATAAATTAATTTAAAGGTACTGCTATATTTATCTGAAACGTCTGGATTTATGACAGCCTTCTAACTTAAAAAAAAAAAAAAAAAGGCATTGTAACAACTATAAATACACAGCACTTATGCAATAGGCTTCAAGCTTTCATTAGAGGCTGCCATACACCTGGAAAGCCAAAACATTTCTCCGCTGTGACAACTTTCGGTAGAACAGATGAGGCATTTCCCCAGGAGAGCTTGACCTGGCGTTCCAAACCTGCGGACAGCCCAAGGCTCGCTGCCCGGCGCGGCTCTGACGGGTCCGCAACAGCGAGCGCATCCGAGCCCGACCCGCGAGGGCTGGGAACGGAGGGGGTAATACATAAACCCTAAGGACAAAGAGCTTTTCCTTAACCATATAACTTTTATCTTATCGTGTCCTGCATTAAAAGACCAACACAGAAGGGAAGGGGGCCAGCCTAAGCGGCCAGAGACGAGTGCGGCACCCGCCGGGTGATGTCCCCCTTTCCCGCTGGAGAAGCCCCCACCCCGCCCCGGCGGCTCTATCCCTGTATCCCTGCCTCCGCCGCAGCCCAGCTAACGCCCGACCCTCACCACAGCAGCCGCTCCAAGGAACCAACTCGGAGCTCGTAGGGCTGTCCCTCTTCCCCGGCAAACTCCCCCTGTCCCCGCTAGGGCTCTGGCTGCCTGCCTGCCCGCCGCCGGGCGGGCTCTGGGAGTTTCGGGGGCACCGGCACCCTCAGGACGGGCGTTCCCGGACGGGCCCGCCCCGCCCCGTCCCCCCCACGTGACCCCGCGCCGTTGGCGGCGCGCGCGTGGAGCGGTGTTTTGTAACCTCCCCCCGCCCCCCGCCCGCGCCCAGCCCCGAGCCCGTCCCGGCGGCCGGAGCGGGAGCGCCACACCCCCCTCGCCGCAGCCGCGCAGCCGATGGCAGCGTCCTCTCCCGCCGTCGCTGTGGGCTCGGAGCTGCCGCCGGAGCCGGGCGGCAGCGGGGGCCCCGGCGAGGGGGCGGACCGGGACCGGGAGCTGCTGCTGGCGCGACTGGTGCCCGCGAGCCGCCTGAAGGAAGCGGTGGGCGCGTCCCTGGCGTCGCTGTGCCTTGGCCCCCTCGGCGGAGCGCAGCGCCTCGGGACCCTCGTGGACTGCCTGGTGCTCAACTACCGCCTGCGGCAGGGGCCGGGCCGGGGCCGGGAGCGCGAGGCCGAGGGGTCGCTGCGCTGCTGCGGCTGCGGGAGGTTCCTGGGCGAGCCGGTGACCGTCCCGTGCGGGCACACCTACTGCCGCCGCTGCCTCCGCAGGGAGCTGCGGGCCCGCTGCCGCCGCTGCCGGGACTGGCTGCTGCCGGCGGGGGGCACCAGCACGGCCGCGGGCCCCCTGCGCACCAGCGTCGTCCTCAACCGGCTGGCGGAGAAGTGGTTCCCGGGCGAGTGCGAGCGGGCGAGGGCCGGGAGCAGGTTGGAGGAGCTGCTGGCCCAGGGCCGCTTCCGAGATGCGCTGAGCGCCGCCGGCCAGGCCCTGCGAGCAGGTAAGGCTGGGGGGGAGCGCGCCCTTCCTCCGCCCGCCGGAGCCGCGAAGTCCCGCCCGAGTCTCGGCGGGACCGGGACGGGCTGGTGGCTGGGCACGGCGGGCTCAGGGGGCTGGGATTGTGGTGGGGTAGGTGGGTGTGCCTTCCCTCCCGTGCTGCGAGGCCGTCAGCGACCTAAACGGGCCGGTAAAGAATGTCCGAAGTTTTCTGGAGTTTGAGGGTATTCGAGGAGCGTCTCCACTGGGAGAGCGGAGCGGAGGGCACGCGTAGCTGCTCGGTCCTTGGTTGAGCGCCCGGCCTGGCAGTGGGGTACACTTACTCGCACTTACTCCAGGGGAGTGGGGGAGCGTCCCACATGCGCTTCTTCGTGCCTCCCTCCCGCACACTTGTGTGGGACTTGTTTACAGAGGAGCTTGTGGGCTCAGCTTCGTTTTGTGTTTGGTAATCGCTGTGCGCGGGCAGGGGAGATGCAGTTGTTGTATTTAACCTTGTTTCCTGAGAGAGAGACCTATTTTCAGTCTTAAGTGTCACCAAGACAATTCCCAGCAGGCCGGGCCCAGTTGCATAAGCAGACAGGCACGGAGGGGGACAGGTTGTGTAATGGCAGTGACATCATAGGTGGGTGTGGTTGGAGTTTTATATAGTGTTGGGAGAGGGTGCAAAGAGGGAAGGTAGAGGCATGCTTTTAGGCTATCCTATATCCGTCGCGATATATGTCTCTGGTGCCATGGACACTTGAGATACCGTCAGTTTTTCAGAGTTTAGTCTTTGTAGAGAGAGTCAAATTTGTGTGATTGATATACCTAGATGGATCCAGTGAGAGATTCCTCTGTTGTTTTTATTTGACTATGAATTTTATCACCTGGTGACCTGAGGGGTTCCATTTTGATTTGTAGCCGGGTTTTTTTTATGTTCATTAATTTAGGAATTAATATTTTTGCAGGTTAAGCATGTTATGTTTATACAGTTGTCTGCAGCGGAGGAAAAAAACCCAAAAGCTTGCATAAGTCTAATCCTTCCAGTCTGTTCTGGGGAGATATATTAGATCTAATTTCAAAATAAAATGTTCGTAATGTTGGTGGGATTAAATCGAAGATCTATTTTATATGCTTTTTGGCAACCTAATTTAAAGAGGTTCACTTTTGGCCATCAAGTCTACGTTATTTGCCAGGATGTTTCTAAAGTGTAGGATATAGGATGGATGTGACCTGAGGAAGTGACTGATCTGTTTTAAATCTTGGAACTATAAGATGCAGACTCCTGTCCTGGGATTCAGCACTGAGTCACAGAGATCACTCAGTGGCTTTCAGGGTAAAACTGATGAGTCCCATTACTGATCTCAAATGTTTACAGGGGTCCTGTTTCACGTTTCAGCATTGCTTTGAAAGAACGAAAGAGGCAATTCATTATACAATTTTTGTTACTATTTCTACTATTTTATGGATTTAGCAATATTATGTAGATAACTGTGGGGAAAGAATTTTAATTTCTTTTTATGTGAATCTTCGTCTTTAATTTTGTCTTTAAAATGAGTTTAAAATCTGAGAATAGTTACCAACTGTAAAGCTTAATCAAAATTTTATTATTCAAATTCAGTACACATGCTAGAATTAAGTGCTAGAAGCTCAGTTTAAGATCTGTTGTACAATTCTTTCCTGTATGTCCCGTCCTGAGAACTATCAATATTACATATATTCTGGTAATGATATTAAAGGAGTTCATGAGTCAGAGTGCAGACATACATTAAATGTGAATTTAGAGCTGTGGGCTCACAACTACAAATCGAAGGTGATTTCAGGCCAACAGATAACAAATTTAATAGCCGTTGGTACTCTTTTCCATCTTCCTCCTAAACACGAGTCTTGAAAAAACTTAGAGATTGAAAAAATACGTCTTAAGAAATGTATTAATGTTTAAAATCATTCATGATTTACTTCCATGTTTCCTTATTGCTACTTCGTCTATTTCTTTTTAATGCAGATAGTTAAAAATTGTGATAAGCATAAATCTGATGCTAAATGTTTACTCAAAAAGGTATCTTTTATAACTCTTCTACATTTCTTGAAACATTTGAAAGAGACGTGTTTCCCATGTTGCAGAAGTGACTTTTGGAAAACATGAGTAATGTTAACATTCATATGGTTAATATATTCCTTGCAGGGTTTGAAACAAAATAGTTTAATTAAAGGACATATATTGAATTAAAACACAAGTGCTGCTTGCCTTTAATCAAGTATCCTGAAAAACACAGCTAATGGACTTGAGTTTGGTCTGAATCTCAGACTCATTCCTGCTGGAGTGGGCCTCAGGAGGTCTGTTGAGCAATCAGCCTCCTGTTCAAAGCAGAACAAATACTGAGATCGGAGCGGTTTGCTTAAGTTTTTTGAGTTTTTGTACAGCTGGATCATGAAAACCTACTGGCTGAAGATTCCACAGCCTCTCTGGGCAATCTGCTCAGAGGTTAATTATCCTCATAGTGAAAATATTTTTCTTTATTTCAGGTCTATTTCAGTTTATAACCATTATCTCTTTTGTTTTTCCACTGTGCACTTCAGAGTCCTCTAGGTAACCCACTTTGGGATTCTGAAAAGCTGTTGAGTTTTCCCAGTGACTTTGGGAATTGTTTTGTGCTAAATAAAGCCAGTTCTCTCAGCATCTTCTTATGAGTTGTGTTTTCCAACCCTGATCGTTGGGGTAACCCTATAGTACTGTGTTAAAAAACAGTGTGTTAAAGTTTTTCTACATAGTGGTTGTGATGTGCATGTCTTTTATTTTGAATAATTTGTTATATTATTAAGAACCATATAAAAAGCAGGCAGGATCCACCCGAGGTAGTCCATTTGTTGGTAAGTTTATACTAACATTAACCAGGAGCAGGAACTTTGGAAATAATATTAAAACCAATAATGCATATCGAGTGGGTTTTTGTGTGTACACCTCTTTATACTTTCCTATTAACGTAATAATAACAAGTAATACACACAGTTCTACCCTACAAGTACTTAGTGTCTTCTTTTTATTAAAATCATTCATCTTTAGGTATGCTGAAATGAGGCATCTCTGTATTTACAGAGATGAAATTGAAATTCAAGCGCTAGGTGTATTTCTGCTCTGTTTAGTCTTTGGTACAAAGATTTGAAGTCTGTTTGCATCCTCCCTTTGGATGGCAGACATTAAAATGTATGCTGAAACTTTTTGAAATGGTTTTTTCATGGTTACAAAGCCTAAAAATTAAATTATGTTTACAAAATTGGATATATGAATTTAGGTAGAACCATAGAATTGTTTAGGTTGGAATTGTTAGAATTGACCTTTCAGATAATGAAGTCCAACCATTAACACAGCGCTCCCAAGTCCACCACTAAGCCATGTCCCTAAGTGCCACATCTGCGTGTCTTTTAAATCCCTCCAGGGATGGTGATTCCACCACTGCCCTGGGCAGCCTTTTCCAGTGCTTGACAGCCCTTTTGGTGAAGAAATTTTCCCGATAGCCAAACTAAAAGTCCCTTGGTGCAATGTGACACCATTTCTTCTCATTTTGTCAATGTTACCTGGGAAAAGAAATGGGCCAGCCCCCACCTTGCTGCACCCTCCTTTCAGGGAGTTGCAGAGAGTGGTAAGATCCCTCCTGAGCTTCTCTTTCTCCAGGTTAAACTCAGTTGCTCTTCATAAGGCTTGTGCTCCAGACCAGCTTTGTTCAAAGTCTCTGGACACGGTCTAGCACCTCGATGCCTTTCTTGCAGTGAGGACCCCAAAACTGAACATCTTTCAAACTGTGGCCAGGGCCGAGTACATGGGAGCAATCACTGCCCTAGTCTTGTTGCCCACACTATTTCAGATACAGACCAGGATGCCGTTGGCTTTCTTGGCCACCTGGGCACACTGCTGGCTCATAGTCAGCCAATTGTCAACCAGCACCCCCACATCCTTTTCCACTGGGCAGTTTTCCAGCCACTGTTCCCAAAGCCTGTAGATCTGCATGGGGTTGTTGTGGTCTAAGTGCAGGACCCAGCACTTCACCTGGATGAACCTCCTACCAGTAGCCTTGACCCATCGATCCAACCTGTCCAAATCCCTCTGCAGAGCCTTTCTGCCCTCCAGTAAATCAACACTCCCAATGTACTGTTGTCTACAAACTGAGTGAGGGTGCAGTTGATCCCCTTGTCCAAGTCACTGATCATTGATGAAGATATGAAAAGGACTGGTCCCATTACCAAGCCCTGAGGAGTACTGCATGTAATCATCTGGCTTTTTTTTTCTTGGAAACATTAAGCCCAAATTTGTTGTGTGTATTGATCATTCACTGGCAGTGATTGTATGTTCAGCAGCAGATTTGGAATTCCAGCTAAACTCCTTGGTTTAGTCTTTGTTTTGTACCAGTTCAGTTAGAATCATGCATTTCTCTTTGAAAAAGAAATTTATAAAATGTACACCTGCTGTAGACTTGAACTCACATTTTTATCTTCAAACTACCCCTCATTCTTCCCCTAAGAAAGAAGGCTTGGAGTCCCTCAGGTCATGTTCTACCCTTGAAGGTCTGAAAAAGATGTGCTTCCTCTGATTCTGTGCAAATAGGCAGCTTAGCAGAGAACAAAGACCTGCACTTACTGCTACCTTTGAAGAAAGAAATTTGGTTTGATGCTAACTCTGCTGGACACCAGAGGCAAATACACACAAAAAGCTATTTGAAGAGTTTGATCTGAACTGTTACCTTCCTAGGCTATAGCAGTCACAAAACACAAAGCCACAGGAAACCAGGCCTCAGAGTTGTTCTGCTTGTGGAATTAGTGTTTGAGTTAGACAGTTTCCCAGACTACTGTTAAAACAAACATTTTATTATGTCTAAAATAAAAATTAAACAAAGCAGGTTTGGCAATGTTTGTATTTCAAGGGAAACTGTCAACTCAAAAGAAAGACAGTTAAGGAAGACACTTTGTTTTCAGCTGTGAATTCTTCTGTGATTATTTCTTAACCCTTTCTCTTCCATTGAGATATTTTTATATGTAGCATTATGGATCTTAATACAAAGTAATGTGATGGAATATATGGAAACATTGTCCAGGCTGACTTTTAAATGTGAAATAGGCTAATGTTGGAAATTCATGACAGTTTATACTAGAGATTTAGAATAGGGAAAGATGGAATATCAAATTGAAATGATCACCTTCCAGGAAAGCCTTGTTGACACCAACTTCAGGGACTATTTGATTTTAGTATTGTTTACAGTAGACCAAGGTTTGACTGGTAGGTCTCACTCAAAGACAGGTGCATTTTTAAAAACAATCAATAACAAAGTAGTGTGCTGGCATTTTTCCAAGCAACAACTGCAGTTAGTTATGTTACAAAACCATAGCTTTAGCGGCATGGAGATGGTTGTGCTTCCTGTTTGGAGGTTACTGTACTGGAAGTGCAAAATGCTGTATGTCAGATATGAGAACTTGTCCATATCGAACATGTTCTGCCATTTCCCCATTGTAGAAGTTCCATTAGCACAGCTCCTTGCAACAGGGCTGCCAGCTGGTGTTAAGGGCTTTCTGGTATTGGCTATCTCTTTTGATCACATAGTGATAAAGCCTACTTCTGGTACTTCCTAGATGAACACTGCTGGGAAAGTGGCATCTGTATCTCCAGCCATAGTTGGAAGGGATTGGGCATTATAAAAACAAATTAACAGTCTACAGAAAAACTTGGGCATTTGAAAGCAAACTGTGTAGTGCTTAGACTTTTAATACAAGTGTGGTGAATTCTCAGATTCCTATGGTTTTGACTGGATGTACTGTAAAGTTAACTTGGTCCTCAGTTTTTGTTGTCACAGCAGTACAGAGCAGTACTTTGTCATCCTCTCTGATATTTGAAAATATATTTTCTTGTTACTGCAATGTACATTAGGGGATCCAGAATTTGATCCTTAGCTTGAAAGACATGAACCTGGAATTACTGCCACTGCTATTAGCCAAACACTAGAGGTTGGGGGCAAATGTACTCCAGTAATTTTGCAAGTATTGTGTGAAAAATTGTGATTATGGCATATCACTGTGAAAGCAAATCTTATTACAAATTTCTGATTTTTTAAAAATGTTACCTAATTTCTGTTTTCAGATTCCAGTGACTTGATGCTTAGGATTTACAGAGCTGAGTCATATGTTGGCCTCCAAGAATATAAAGCAGCCATAGAAGATCTAAATTTTGTTATTTCTAAAATGCCAAATTGGCCAGAGGTAAGTTGGTATGAGCTCATCATTTTTCAGTACTGTGTTTGTCTTGCCACATGAGAGGACATTGCTGCTGTCTTGGTTTGTCCTGTGTTCAGCAGTTCAGTCGCTACTGCAAATTCATAAAGCCCTCCTGCTTTTCACCTCTCAGTTTTGATAGTACTGTCTACTTTCTTCTGTATGTTTGGAAAGAAGCCTCACTTCATTTAACTGAGCTCGATTTGATGGATGGATTCCTATAACAATCCTTATCTCTGTAGGAAAATTAACTGTAAGAGGAGGATTAGCATACTTCCTTTCTTCAAAATACATCTTAATTGAATCTGCCCAAATCCCTTCAAGAGGATGCATGCCCACATCAACAGTCTAGTTGAACAGATGCTATTGTTCATACTGTCATTCTGTAGAAACTGCACTCGGGTTTGTTTGTTGTTGGGGGGTTATTTGTTTGTTTTTGAAGTTTAGTTTCTGGTCCATTACCTAAGTTCTCATATACAGATAGATATTGTTGTTTTAACTAACTTTTATTGATAACTGTTTATCTATTTATATTAGTGCCAGTGCAACTTTTAAAAACTGAGATTATCTAAGTCCCAACATCATCTAGTTACAACTAAGTTTAGTAAAAATCAGTAGTTTTTCTTCCACCTTTTTTTTCAGACCAAATAATATACAGATTTCTTTTTTCCTGTTGCTATCTAGTGCTCAAGAATAAAATATAGTTGGAGGAAGCAACTCCAGAAATGCATTGTTTTGTGTTAAGAATGTTTTGTGTTAAGAATGTAGATTGAGATGAACGTAAGGGATGCACGGTTGTGTGGATTGTTTTGTTTGTAGTCCCTCTTCTCCTGCATGCTGGAACCATAAGGCTTTTAATGAAAGAGAGGCAAAAAAGGGTATCCTATAAACTGTTATGAGAGGTTATGTAATGATTTGCGTTTCCTGTCCCTCTTCTTCCTCTCCAGAGGCTTCCAGAAGAGGGAAACTGAGGCCTTTTGTATATTAAGCCCTAGTCAGGTTTTCAACACTTTTATATAAGCCAAAACAAATTAACTGGAAGAAGACTAACACCAGGCTTTTCCATGACTCTTTTCAAACATTAGCGGATGTATGTTAGTTAGACAGGGCATATGGATCATCCACACTGTGCACAGTTGAAGTTTGTTGAAGAGCTCCATTCTTTTTATCATGGCAGGTTCTAATACTAACTGTTGTAATGCCTGTAAGATCAGTGCTGCAGTTCAACATACCCTCTAGAAATGTCTTCATGGTATCTGTTTCTCAGGTCTACTTCCGGAAAGGAAAAGTGCTGCAAGACTCTGGCTTTGTAGGTGATGCCTTACAACTGTTTCTACAGTGCTTAGCCCTTGATGAGGACTTTCTTCCAGCCAAGCTAGAAGTAGAAAAGGTATTCATGATACTGAATTCCTATCTCTGGTTTGATTCCTTTATAAAGCTCTCATTATTGTAGACTTTGATCATCTAAAATGTGCGTCACATACAGAGACGGTTTGAATGGCAGATAACTTTTAAGATATCTCTTAAATCATACTATGTTGAAGAGATAGTCTCATTGTACACATTTTAAATACATGTTTAAAAGTACATTTGCTTTGGAAGTTACTATATGAATGTCTAGAAAACTGGAAAGCAGGCAGTGAGTTAAATTTTCTAAGTCAAAATCTTTTGTGCCCGAGCACAACAGTGTTTCTTTGATAATAAAAATTTGTAATGAAAAAATGCACAGTACTGAACTGATAATGTGTAACTTTGTTCAAAGAGCTCACTAGCTTGTAGTAGAAAAGATTTCTTTTTACTTTTTAAAATTTCTTTTTATCAACGTAGGTATGTAGGCTTCTGCTTGTTTTTAACTCTTACTTTCTCAGTTACTGCTTAAATAAAGATCTGTTTATGAGAATAACTTCATAAAGATTTACTTCTTACTTCTGGTATATAGTTTTATAACAAAGGTATGTCTAGATTATTTTTCTTTATTATTAACATTTAGATATTTTTTCTAGACATTGTGTGATGTTTTGTCACCAGAGAAGCTAGGTGAGAGTTTGAAGGAATCTGCTTGGAATTCAGCCCATATTCGAAATAAACCTTTTCTGCTTGGTTCTGACATGACTGTGTCTTACTGCAACTTACAGCTTTGTCCTCAGCAGGTAACAAAAATTCAAGGATAACTTTTCTTGTTGACTGATATGTAAACATTGAATGTACTGATACACTGATTCGTCAAACTTTCCAGTGTAAATACTGACTTTCTATAATTCACTGAATTGGAGGAAAAGAATTGTGATTTGGGAGGAATGTATTTTCATTTGTAGTGTTAAAACTCCTCATTCTAGTGAGCTGGAATGGGTAATAATAAAGTATTACAGGGTACTGAAGTTTGTTATTAGGGACTTAAAAATAAAGAGAAATACATTTTCTCTTTGAAGCAGATGAAGATTGTTAAATTGGTAATGCTAAGCAAATTTGAATGCTGTCTTGACTTAAAAGTTTCTCTAGTTAACTAATGAACTAATTGTGGGTATCAGTTTGGCTGATATATCTTTGTGTGGTCACATCTTACATACTTAGGTTTGTGTTACTCTTAAAATACAGTTCATCTTACTGTTACAGAGTTCAGGAGGGTCAGATGTACTGAAGCCTGTCAGTGGAGGCTTAAATCGTGCACAGTCTGCCCATGCTCTTAATTCAACAAAAGACCTTGCCAAGGAAGATGGCTTGAAGAGAGTGTCTTCTGAACCCCTTCTCTCTGGCCAAGGAAAAAGTGCTTTGTTAAAAAGAAAGCTTTCATTTTCAGAACAGGATACAGTTGTATGTGAAGATGGAAGAAACAAACACAAAAAGCAAGGAGGTAAGCAGTTACTTACTCTGAAATTTAAAGTATTTACTGTCTTTTGCCTTTCTTTGAAGGAGTGTTTTGTCTTGTTTTTCTTTAGAAGGTACAAAAAGGGACGTGACACTGGCTTTTGGAACAATTCCAGGGGATATGATTGATGTATCAGATTTTGAATGCTCTCTATGTATGAGGTAAGATTTTGTCCTTGATGCAGTATTTCTGTTATAGATGCTTGGCCACATATCTGTCATGTGTATGAACTGTAGGTTGTTATGAATTCTGATATCAGTCAATAATTGCACCTTTTCTCTATCCCCTAAATTAAGGATGCTTATTTAAATGTCACCTGCTACAGCACTATATACTATAGGGGCTGTTTTAATCAAGTTACCTTCTAAATTAAATTTGGCATTGTTAACTGGTAATCATAAAAGTACAGAGTCCTTTGTTGTTAAGTGTTAGGGTTTTCTTGAGCCAATAAAACTATTATTTTGGAAAGGCTAATTCTTAGGAGTATTGCCTGTGAACCTCAGATTTGCCTGGGAGATGTAGATGCTTAGGAATGTTAGTTTACTTTAATGTAGCTGCTGTTGTATTTGAAAGCTCTTATTGAATTATCTTGCTTTTCAGAATAAATACCATAAAACATATGGTGTATGCTAAACTATCCATAGTTATGTTACTAGTACGTAATACTACTGTTAAAACAACTTAACTTCTCAAAGAATTACTCCATTTCGCGTATTCTGAATCTCTAGCGAGACCAAAATCTTTGTGTTTTGGGATAAATGTTTAGGTACTTAAAGTGCTGGAATGTGTCCAGATTCATCAGAAAACAACAAAATGAGTGATGCAGTAAATGGAGATAAACTGCAGTATAGAGGAAAAAGTAGAATAAGGAGACACATAATTAATTTTTCTCTATTATAGTATACCTAGTCTTTTAAAGAGGTTAATCATTGACTCTTTTAGCAAAAAACAAAAGCAAAAGACACTGGCCATAGCATTTAACTTCTGATAATTTTGTTTCAGGCTATTCTTTGAGCCAGTGACAACCCCTTGTGGACATACTTTTTGCAAAGGTTGTTTGGAACGGTGTTTAGATCATGCTCCACAGTGTCCACTTTGTAAGGAGAGCTTGAAAGAGGTATTGTTTCTCAGTAAAGCTTACAAATAGAAATACTGTATAATTTTAAAGACTGCTTCACTTGAACCCAGTACTTGGTTTTGCTTGACTTATGGATTGCTGCTAGAATGGAAAAACTTGAGACAATTTTTTTCAGTACAAGTTGATTAGATTTGCCTCAGGGTCTTAGGAGTTTTATGTTTCTGTGATCATCTACTGGTGTAATTAAATTCTGCATATTCATAAACTTTGGTTAGTATTCAGTACACTTCTCTTATTTATAAAGCTGTATATCCTAGGAAATCTGTCTCTGATAAGCATAGAGCTACAAACCAAGTTAGACACTAAATGTGTCAGACACTAAGAACTCACAAAGAGAATCTAATTTTCAAATATTGGAGTATCATTAGGTGTTAAGCAATGAAGCATAAGAAGTTTTCGTGGTTTTAAGACACATCCTAGATCATATTTTTAAGTAGAAGCTGCATTTTCTTAAATCGTTTGTTAATAAATATGAAAAGAAATATTAATGTATTTCTTGAAATTGCTTACAGTACCTTGCAAGCAGAAAATATAGTATCACAAAACTGCTGGAGGAATTAATAGTGAAATACTTGTCTGATGAATTATATGAGAGAAAAAGAATTCATGCTGAAGAAACTGCTGAACACTCCAAGTAAGCTTGCTGTCTTGAATCCTTTTTAGAAATGTTTTATTATTTTTGTGATTATTAACAATGTTATACTGCAGATACAAGAAGGAGTATGAAGCTTCTCCAGGTCCCTCTGGGTGGCATCCCATCCTTCAGGTCTGTCAACCACACCGCTCAGCTTGGTGTCATCAGCAAATTTGCTGAGGGTGCACTCAATCCCTTCATCTGTGTGAGTGACACATCCTTGTGTCATTAATGAAGATATGAAGCAGTGCAGGTCCCAGTATGGATGCCTGAGGGCCACCACTTGTCACCAGTATCCCCTGGGAGTCTGAGCCATTGGCCACTGTCCTCTGGATACAACCATTCCGACCACTTTCTTACCCATCTAATAGTCCACCCATCAAATCTGTCTCTCTCCAGTTTGGAGAGACAGATTTTGTGGGGGATCATGTCAAAAGCTTTTCGCAAAGTCCAGATAAATGACAGCTGTAACCTTTCCCTTGTCCGCTGATGTAGTCATTCCATAGAAGACCGTTAGGTTGGTTGGGTGAGATAGGATGGAGCTCTGAGCAACCTGGTCTAATGGAAGGTGTCCCTGCCCACAGTAGAGGGGTTGGAACTAGATGATATTTAAGGCCACTTCCAACCCAGGCCATTCTGTGATTCTATGTAATATATTTTCCCTTCCATTCTTCTTTTTGCATGCACTGTCATGGAGCTTTAGTTTTAGCTTTGCTGTTCATGGAATTTTCCTCTTCAACTGACTGCAGTGTCTTAGAGACTTGAATTTCTTGCAAACCAATTCATGGAGATGTGATCAAAAGAAGTAGTTGGGATTTTTTTGTAATTGTGATGTTTATCTCACGAAGGAGAGTTCTTCAGATACATAAAGCATTATGTGTTGTAGATAGGAATGTTCCAAAACTATTTAAAACTACAGCTCATGCAACTTATGTAACAGAATCCATTCAGTAGAATTACTTTTTACAGACTGAAAGATATTAAAATTAAATCCCTGGTAATGTTTTAATAGTAATTTGTTTGTATCACCTATCAGCTATACATATGTAAAAAAAGGCATGAAAAAATATTTTGTTTTTCAATTACGGCTGCTGAAGCATATAGCAAGGTACAGAGTATACCCTCCTTTGATTTGTGATCCGGAGTCACTCCTGGAAAGTAGTCTAAAAGGGTGACTTAGCTGCTATGTAGTTAGGCTACATCTTTTTAGTTCCAGGAATACTATGTTTCTGAGAGCATAATGTCTTGTATGACACAAAACAAAAAGGAGGAAAGCAACTAACACTCCTGTCCCCAAAACTGAGACCTTTATTCACTGACTAGGTACTCAGTAGCTACATAACTATGAGTCTTAGGGTCCAGTGTGTACACAAATCAGTAATAGGTGTTGAGTCACTGTTATTAGTATGTGTTTTTAGTGTTTACGAAAGTTACTACGAAGTGCTTAAACTTTGAAAGTTGCTGCCCCGTGCTTTATGGCCTTAAACATAGCAAACATAATGAAAAAAATGTATTATCTTGGCATAGCTCGTTGTTTAGATTTTGAAGCCACTTATTTCTTTTGATATTCTCTTGAAGCTTGACCAAGAATGTTCCAATGTTTGTTTGCACTATGGCATATCCTACTGTGCCTTGCCCTCTACATGTATTTGAGCCAAGATACCGACTCATGATTCGCAGGAGTATGGAAACTGGAACTAAACAGTTTGGGATGTGCATAAGTGATTCTCAAAATGGGTAGGTGTACATTCTAATTCTAAGTTTCTCATCGCTTATGTCTTTTTTAATTATAAGAAGTGTCCTTTCAGAAGTGTGTAATTGAATTACTTACAAGGTCTCTTTTGTAGTTTTGCAGATTATGGTTGCATGCTGCAAATAAGGAACGTTCATTTTCTACCTGATGGACGGTCTGTTGTTGATACAGTTGGTGGAAAGAGATTTAGAGTTTTACGGAGAGGGATGAAAGATGGGTATTGCACTGCAGACATTGAATATTTGGAAGATGTTAAGGTATCTAGAATGCTGTTTAAATACTTAGTAGTATTAATATTAGAAGATTTTTGCTTGATTTGTTCTTGAGAGCTCTGTTGCAAATTTTTCAGTCCCTAGACCACTGGAAGATTGAGTGCCAGCACATGGAATAAATGGCAGCTAGCTTAATTTTTTATTATTATAAAGCAACTAAGAAATACTATAGTTTTCATTTTGAGCAATAGTATGAAGCTATAACTTTAAAAATACTGCAAAATTTCTTTACTATTCAGTGATTAGTAATCAAGGTTTTGGAGAAAGCAAGAAATGTATCTAAGTATAGTTGAAATTGAATCTTTTTTTGATTTTAGTTTAAACACCTTAATTGTATCTTTAGCACTAATCATATTTTCATAACTATCCTCCTATAGGTTGCTGATGAAGAAGAACTAAAGAAATTGAGAGAGCTTCACAATTTTGTTTACAATCAGGCCTGCAGTTGGTTCCAAAACTTAAGGAACAAATTTCGCACTCAAATTCTTCAGCACTTCGGGCCAATGCCTGACAGGGAGGAAAATATACAGGTGAGACTCATTTAATATCAATTGTTAGGTGTTTATTTCTAAAAATAAAAACCCTGTTAACAACTGCTAAGCATCAAAAAAAAAAATCCCACCGCTTTTTTCCCAGCTTCAAAGTCAATAAGACTTGCACCTTGTTTCTCTTACGATGAGCAACAAAAAGCAATTCTGTTGCTGGTCAGCAGTTTTTGCAGGACAGGATGATATGCTGTAGTGGAAATAAAAATAAAGTTAGTAAACCGAAAACACTTTCAGCTCCAGTAACATTTAAACTGTTTGTTTGTGTAAAGGTGTTAGAATTTAAAGTGAAAGAAACCCTGAATTTTCTTCTCTGTGAAAGTCAGGGGAGAAACTGAAACTGCCAAGTGCAGGCAAAGAGGTAGTCACAAATGACACTTTCCTCCTTTCTAAGCTACTGCCATATACTTCTGCAGCATTTGACAAATGTTTCTTGAGAAACTAGCTGCAACAGTCTGTAATTGTTATAATGCAACAATTACTGAAGGTTTGTGACATCCTGAGAGACTCGAGGCTGTAGAAAAGCAATACTTAAAAACATGTAAAATTTGGCTTTCAAAGCAGAATTATATGTGGATTGGGATCTTATGGGAGCTTGTCCCTCACCCATCTGCTATATACTTTTATGAGGCTATATTAACCAGTTTGGGAGGACTGTAGATGCTCTAGAGACCATTGCATGAATTCAGAAGTGATTTTAGAACAATTAAATTAAAAAAATAGATTGAAAACAACATACTAAGAAGGAGGAGTTTATGTACAAAACCGGAGTAACTGGTAGGGCAGCAACACTGTGGGTATGTACCTGAGATTTATAATAGGATACAGGTCAAAGCTGTGCGATACAGCTGAAAGTGAGGAAATACCATCTTGGAGTGTGCCACTATTAGTAATATTTTTGCAAATCATTTGAGGTGAATGATCTTCTCTGCAGAGATAAGACCTCTGCTGAGGAGTATTATGTCCAGTTCATGGCCTGACATCTAATGCTTCGTGTCGGTAATTAAATAAAGTACAGGAAAAAGTTACAGAGTATGTTTTAACAGCTTAGAAGAAACTGAGTGCTGCTCTGTCTAAGAGCTAATGAAAAAGGGAGTTGAATTGGGAGGTGATCAAATAACAATAATTTTAATGGAAACGTTAGGCTTCTTAAATATTCAAGCCTTAAGAACATCATCACAGGTATTTGGTTTAATTTGTATCAGGGATGTTTGTTATTAGGTGACTGTCTTGTATCTAACCATCTTTTCCCAAGGAAGCTATGAACTTCGCTTCCTATGTTTTCTTAAAAATAATTGCTTTATCCAGCACAGTTTAAGTGTACTTTGTTTGACTTCGCAGTTGGGGAGGGATCAGAAAAGACCCCTTGAGCACTCTTTTGATCTCATGGATCTGGAATTCTGTAGTTAGTATCAAACTTTAAAGTAGTCTTGGTCATTCATGACTTTGTCTTTTGATGTTTTCATGGTAGTCAACTATACAACATTGGTTATGGGTAACCAACTTATCTTTTATTTTTAGGCAATGCCCAACGGTCCTGCTTGGTGTTGGTGGCTTCTAGCTGTTCTCCCAGTAGACCCCAGATACCAGCTGTCAGTTCTCTCCATGATGTCTTTAAAAGACCGTCTGATAAAAATCCAACATATACTCACATATTTTTCTAGAGACCAGTCCAAGTGACTAACCGCCTGGGTCTTCCTGAAAAGTTACTCTGTTCTGGTTGTAGTAGCAGCTGGAATTTTTGCTGCCTTTGCACATCTAGTACTGGTTTGAGAAGTGTAATGGAACTGTTTTTTCTCTCCTCTCTACCCTCCCCACTTCCTGAACCACGTGGTTCTTTGAATGCACACTTTCTTCAACTATGAGAGAAGACCACTGACGATTGCACAGAGTCAATCCAGCTAGATATGTTTTTCACATTATCTACATTAAAATTTGCACTATGTAGAGGAGAACCTTTTTGAGACTTGATCGTTTTAGCGACTGACTTTTTTAAGCTGTGGAAGTGCAGGACTTAAGGCTGACAGTCCAAGTTTACAACACTGAGGAGGTATTAAAGGTTTTGCAAATGTTTGCCTCATACAACTGTTCTTTTGCTGTTTGCACAAATATTTGAAATATAGTATTGAATGTTACAGTTGGATATTACTACTCTTGTTGAATTATCTTGACCATAAATGAGGCACAGATTTTTAAGTTATCTTGTAGGTATATGCATCACAAAATAGGTGACATTGTGAACTGTATGCTGAACTGGGAGCCTATTTTAAGGAAAAAATGCAAAAAAAAAAAAAAGGTACTTCTGTCTAAAAATACTTAAACTGTGAATATGGTTTACATACTTAGGCCTGTACATGTTAAAGAGGAAACTGAAATCTAAATGCTAGTACCAGTTATATTTCTACTGGACTTTTCAGGCTGGCTGTTCTTCCAGAGCACACACTTAGTTTGTAGAGCTTAGAAGAAGAAATCTTAAGAGTGTGCGTGTGTGTGTCTGTTGGGGATTGTGCATCCAAGATTCAAAAGCTTCAAGTTTTTATTTGAACTTTTTAAGTTGGTGCAAATGTGAGTTCTATGCCTTATTCATATCAACAGTAGAGCACACTGCAGTGGCAAGGTTAGCATCATGCTGCCAATAGGTACTTTTTGTAATTAAAGGTTTGCATATTTGTGAATATGTCTGATACTGGCTTTCTTGTATGTAAATCATTTGTAAAATATTTCTTAAATCTTGCTTTTGCTAATATATTTAATTTTCAATAAAAGCTAAAAGTTTGTAATATTTTAAACTTTATCAGAAACTAAAATTCACTTTCTTTTTCCATATGCTTCTATTCTGGGGTCTTAAGTAAATCCAGAAGCTGCTGTTTAACCTACATTAAGGTTGTGAGCACTTCATGATGTAACTGGTATGTACATAATCTGTTTCTGATTATAGTACCTGTCTCAGACTGACTATTGGTCAGACAAGTTTTTTGCTGGTGTCCTGATTTTCTGTCTATTTTGTTTAAATCAAGTGTGAAGTTTGCATTTCGCAGAACTTAGAAGTTGTGGGAATCTGTTCTTGCAGAGCAGGGAGGTATTTCACAGGCCTGTTAGTCAGATGCTCTGGCCTTGTTCTTTTCTGGGGTCCAAGGTTTGAGATATTACAGGCAGCCCACAATCTGTTGGATAATTTCTAATGTGGTTTTCTATCTAAGGTAAATTTTCCCTCTATGGTACAAATAAAGTCCTGGATTAATATTTAGAACAATTTATTTGCATAATAAATGAAGAAATGGAATCCTCTGTTTTTCCACTTCCATATGTTATAACTTTAGAAACTTAATCTTTGCATCACCGTGATCTTCTTAAGAATGTAGGTGGCAGGATTTTTTTTCCTTGGTGGCAAAAAGTCCCTGTGGCCAGGCTGGAAATACCCAAATAAACTAGTGGTAATTTTTTTTTTTCTTCTTGCCAAGAGCTTGAGTTTTGAAATTGAGTATTCCCTACTCTGCTGGAAGATGTGGTTTCCAAATGTTTTTATACATTCCCAAGACTTTTTAATAAGATAAAAATTCAGATAAAGTATCAGTTGGCTTGTACTGTCCTGTGCATAAGTGTGTTCTGTTTCTGGAGTTGTGTAAACTATGTAAGGTAAAACTTCATTAAAAGGAAACAGCAACAACATAAAAAGGAAAGTAACCATCTTAACACATGCTGCATTGAGGCTGATTGTAAGTAGCTATTTTGTAGCTATTCCACAGACGTGATTGTTGTAGGTTCTCTTGGGAATGATAGAAAATTGAGAAGGGGAGGTGAAAGATTTTTAAGAGTTTTTTTTTGAGTTGGAATTCTTTCAAGTGAATGTTTTGTGGACCAGATTTTATCACTTTGTGCAGTTAGAATGCGACAGAAAAGCAAGCTTGACTGAATGTTTGCATAGCCCTTTCAGTAAGTATCTTGGAGAAACACTATGCTGTACTTTGTACATCATACTTTGAATTTGGGGAGTATTTTCTTATTCTTACAATTTTTTTTTTCCCATCCACACAGCAAGGGTTCTTTAGCTATCAAACAATAAATAGCAACTGACTAAGGATAAAGTTTGATCACCTTTTATTATTATAATAAGGTTGAAAATCGATGTAATTAGGCCTGAGCAGAATGCAAGCAATCTAGGCATAGGGAAAAGGGGAAAGCTCACTTGCTTTGTAGGCAAGGTACAACACCTCTAACGATTAGGCTTACCTGAGGATGAGCAACAGCCAAGAGAATTGTCAGGCTCTCGTTTTCTGTCATGACAAAGGGAGGTCTCCTTTGCTGGGCAGCACCCCTGGAACAGCCAATGAAAGGTACCCCAAGTTATTGTTGGGGCATCTTATTTACGAGGTTGTGCTTTCTTTGTTCAGTCGTATGACTGACAAGTTGATGTAAGTGTGAGAACAAAGCTAAATGTGTCTCAAAAGATTGGTGAGTGATCCATAAATAGCTATAAGTTCATTGGATGTGCATGTATGTTAGTATGAGAAAGGGTGTAAACTTCAGCATGAAGGTTTGGAGTCACTGTACTGAGAGCTGTCTGCCCAAAATACTGATGTGTATTTTCCAGTGTTTCTGGCAAGGACCTCTTCCCAGTTTTGCTAAGTTGTGGCCAGAGATCTCACTGAAATTCTTTATTTATGATTAATACTCACCTCTAGTCTCTTTACTCTTACCAAATGTCATTTCTTGTAACAACTTGGAGCCCTTGAAGAGAACCAATGAACTTTAGGTTTAGAAACTTCAACTTTCTTGGTATGAAATGGCAACTTCACTTTTCTCTATCTAACTTACTTTTCTTTGGCAATTGGCAAATATTTGCCACAGTCATTCTAACGTATCATTTCTCTGTGGGCCTTTTACAGGTCCCAAGTTTCTTTAATGACAGTATGCAAAGATAGTTGTAAGATATTGGTAAGGGGGAAACTTGAAGCTATGCTAAAATGTTAGTTCTCTAGGAAGAAGTGTTTGCTCTGAGCCCTGTGAAAGATGAGGCCAGATTCAAACATTGCTAGAGGCTTTACAAGGCTTGTCATCTTTTTGGTTTTATAAGTGATCTAACCCATTCCTTTCAGTATGAGTGGAGTGGGGTAAATATCTGCTAAGTACTCAAATTCTGCTTTAGACTCAGATTAATTACACATGAGACATGGTAGAGCTGATCTGCACAACTCAGTCTTTTGGACAAGAGCCTGAGGGAGCCTCTCAGTGCAAGGCTCTGCTTACTTTACATCGGGACCGGGACAGTTCCCAGAGGGAATGCTTAAAACTTCAGCTTTGAGCAGGTCCTCAGGAGCAGTAGGCAAACCACAACCGCCCAGCCTGCACCTGTCCAAGGATAAAATGTTTCTTTTTCAGTACTGGCTTTGACTGTAGAGACCTGGCTATTTACAACTGGATTTATAATGGGAAGAAGGTCATTCCACTTAGTAGATAAGAGATACCTCTACAAGGAAGATTGTATCTATGCTACTTGGTATCACACTGGAATCTGCCCATTATCTTCTCATTTATGTGCTTTTCTAAAATTAAAAAAAAAAAACCACCCCTAAACTGTAAAGCGTTCAAACTAGGATATAAATTATTCTCAGGCATTTATCAAAGCAAAAGAGAGTCTGCTGAGCCTTGATTTTTTTTTTTGTGAAGTTACACTTTCCTGGATACTCATAACTGTGACTCCTTCTACAAGCAAAGGCCAATAGTGGGATTTCACCATGGATTTAAAAAAATAATTGCTCTAATTATGTATGATGTATGAAGTATGATGTAGCTTAATTGGAGTAGGGAGTGCCTATGAGGATGTGGCAGGCTCTCTGGGACAAAAAGTTTTGAATGTTCAAGAGAAAGCAGTTCCCAACAAAGTCTTTACACGTCTAGTTTGAGGGGTTTGATTTTTGTTTGGTAAATAAGATGGAAGAATGTCCTATATTGGAAATAACTTTTAAAGCGGACTGAATATGAACCTGTACTGGCTAGGAAGCTGGCCATTTACTAGATGTTTAGTGTGTTAGAAAAGGGAAATGATGTAATGGAAAACTGGAGGCTGTGCTATTATTAAGGCAAATACAGTCACTTTCCAATCCAAACAGAAATTCTCTGGAGTTTGGAATCTTAAAATTCTTAATTATATTATCTAATTGAGTGACTCTTGGTTCCTTGCACTCAAGAGCTTTCTGGTTTGTCAGCTTGGAATGTTTTTATCCACAGAAAGAGCTATACAAGGGCCTTGGCAAAGTGGGCTGCTACCTTCTTCCTAACAGTGCTATAAGGGGAGGAGGGAGCAGTGATGTTTCTTTTACCCTTTTTTTTTTTATTTTTATTTTTCCCCCTTTTGCATCTGACGTGACTCAGTTCTGACTGAGGGCTCCTTGCAGGGACTTCCACAGCCCCTCCTATTTCCTCTGCCAGTATATCAGACCCGTTTTAGCTGACTGCTGCCTGCCGGATGAAGTCCCAAAGTCTCAGAAGCAACGAGTGCCTGTGGAAGACAGCCTGTTCATTTTTTTCTGAAAAAAGACTTGAACTTGATGCTTGATATTCAGAAGCATCTGTTGAGCTTCTGGCAACTTGTTTGCTGTACTATTTTTCTGTGAAGATACCCTCCTACTGGTGATGATATCTGTCAGCAGGAGGGGAGAGAGAAAAGCTGTTACAGTTAATTCTTTTACCAAGTTCCACACAAATACATCTTCACTCCTTCTTAAAAGACGCTTTGAATTTTACCTTCCACACGCATCAACAAATCTTCTAATATCTTCTTTACACTCAGGACATACTTTTCAGGAAATAAATCCTGCAGAAAGCTCCCCACCCTAGCTGAACTGACATTTCGTAGTTGTCATGATGTCCATACAGAAGAAAGTTAACAGAGCCTGTCTGAGGCCTGCTACAAGACTCTTGAGGCAGAAACCCAAAGCTCTAGAGCCAACCTCTGTTGTGGTTACTTAAGGAAATAAACTGAGACAGTGTGGGGGAAAAGGGGAAATTAAGATCTTCCCTTCCTACAGATCTCTGCATGCCTGTGGTGGTTAAAGCACTCTTCTGAAAATGAAAGGAAAGGTTAAGTTTTGTCCTTTCCCCCAGCAGAAAGGGGATCAAGTTGCTTATAACCAGGGTGTTTGTTCTAACATGTAGTACAGTGCAGGTTATGTTTTGTGTAGATGGGTGACTGAGTATCCTGATAAGGCTTAGGTGAGTACCAGGCTGTTCTGCCCTGTTAAGTCCTAAAGTGCTTCTGCTTTTGCAAAAGCACAACAGCAGGTGCTTAAGTGGCTTTAGGTCTCTCCTGCCCAAGCAGCCATTGCACAGCAACACTGAGGAGCTTTGAATGCACACACTTAGATCTGAAATGGAGCAGGGATTTGGGAACTGGGACTGCAACATCATTCTTGAGGTACTTAAACTCTGATAGAAATTCAGGGTTTGTGTTGGATTTTTTTATTTTGCTTTTTATCAACCATCTATGAAACTTGAAAGCTTTTTCCTTTTGCATGTACCTTGAAACAAATCTTGATTGTTCAAACAACCTTTACACCTTATTTTTGTCTGAGCCCAGAAATTGATCATTCTCATGTGTAAGCTTTTGGAAGTTTTGAACAGGAAGTGCTCTGAAAATGCATGACATGACAACTGCAACACAATCCAAATACAGTGCAACTGGCACCTCTGATTTTATTTTGAAACATGGCTCAAGATTTCTGACACTATTTCACAATTAAGTTGCATTGCTAAAGAAATCACTGAGGCTGTGAGAGGAGGTCCAAATGCCCACTCCAGTGAGGGAACAATCGTGATTTTTCATGAGTATGAATTACTTCAAAACAGGGACTCCCTTAATGCCATCCCCAAGAAACCTAAAGCACATCCTTGGCCATCAGCTCATTTTTGCAGCTCCCCCCCAGGCAATGGATATTGAAACCATACTTTCACTGTCCTGTATAGGCACTTTAACCTTTGAGCTGTGGATGAATAACAAACCAGTGGAAGCTGTGACTTGATTTTTCCCAGAATGTTTTTTTTGGGGGGAGTTGAATTTTTTTGGAAACAAAGTGATATAAAAACTGAGCACCGGATGTCACTCACCTGTACCTGAAGCAATGTAGAATGTAAACCAAGTTCTGCCCTCAGCACTTTCCTCTCCTGAGTCCAAAAAGTTCTTCGCTAATATCTTTTAAGAACATATACTGTTAAACAGGTAACTCTGCTAATTAGGACATGATCTAGTCCAGGGTCCTAGGTTCCACAGCAGATGCTTAAAAATTAGACTTCCATTACAACTCAATTTACAAAATACAAATAAACCTCAGTAACTGCTCTATGTAATAGTTTCTGTGAAGATAAAAGCACATTTCAAGGTAAGAATTTGTTGGGATTGTTTGTAAAATTGGACCAAAAAAAGCACAAGGGCTAAAAGAGAATTTCTGACTGAAGCGATTTTCAGGTTATTGCATCAGTGTAACAGTTGGAATGCTGAATCAAGGGGAATTATGTTCATTTCACAGCAAAAGCTTCGTGAAGAAGTTCCAGCTGAACTAAACCACTGATATACAACACTTCGGCCTTTAGGACAACTACATTAAGTCCTTGCAGATATGATAGACTTTGCAAGTTTTGTCTGCTGATCACAGCAACACGCTGTTAATGTTGGCTGCTGTGTCTTACTGCTTCTTTGCAAGGCAACTGCTCAAGCAAGGATTTGCTTCTGCGAGTTCAGTACAGACTGCACAAAAAAACCCCAAACAACCCACCCCATCCAAAAGCTGAAGAATGACCATTTCTATGGCAACTAAAGCACTTAGCATGCTCATGCCCAAGATAAATTGGCACAATCTTAACAACTGAAGTTCGTATAATCAGGGTGAAAGTAATTTGAGAAAAGTAACTAGAGACCGAACAGAATATTCCAGGTGTAATATTCAAATCATCATCTGTTACTAATTTTTATTACATGGGGAAAGACTGCACAGAAAGAACAAAACAGCACAGCAATGTAATAATAATAATGGCCAGTCTCTTCGCAAATGAAGAACCGGGGAAGGTCTTTCCACCTTCCAGCCTGCGCATTGGATTTTTTAGGTGAGACACAGTGTGCGCGGAACTGAGCCCACCCTTTAATCCTGAGGTTCATCTGCCGGGGCCAAGCACGCTTGGACGGTGGCAGCGAGGTCCTGAGGACGTAGATGGATTGCCTTACAGGGCTAACGAGCTCCATCTGCCCGGGGAGGGGCCCCGACCGGGAATCGAACCCGGGTCTCTGCAGTGACAGTGCAGTGTCTTTTCCCCTAGACCACCAGGGGCTCCCAGCACAGCAATGTAAGGTGGAAGAGACAGCAGTGGCTGGCTGCAGTTGTCTGTCTCACCATGGTGGTAGGGTGGTCAGGTGACTAATAAGGTTGTCAGGTTGATTACCCATAAGAGCCAACACCCAGTGTACTGCTGGGTAGAAAGGAATAGGAAATGACACCTTCACCTCTTGTGTAACTTCACCCTCAGGCTGTGTATTGTTAGCAGACTGCTGCCACCAGGAGAAAGAAGTGCTGCAATCTTCTTTACATTTGCTGGCTTTGGTCTTGGCATCTTGTCTGATTACAAGATAAGGTGATCCAGTTCACTCACCCAAGCAAACTAATAGCATGGATTCTTTTCATCCATTAGTTCTTCCAATAGGCAAAGTTAATACCACTGTCTTGGTAGGAGAGCTAGCTGACAGCATGCTTTCAGATATGCCAAGTATGCAGGCAAGTACAAACTTGGGAAATAGTTTGCTTGCTGAAAAAAATCAGTCTTGAGGATCTTCACTTTTAAGTCAGTGATACTATGCCACAAAGGAATTTCAACCTCTTTGTTCAGCATTAGCTCTGTTATTGATATTTCACTTAATTAGAAAAGCAACTGCTCTCAAGCCTAAGAAGTGTTTGAGTTGTTTTGCTTTAGTGTAAGCTTTGACCAGTTTAAAACCCTTGAATTTAAGGGAGCCCTGCTCAGAGCTCTATACAAATCTGCCTTAGATACAGTCCTTTCCTGTGAAGAAGGCCAGCAGCAGCATTTAATCCAGTTACTCACACTAGGGGTTAGCCTGATGTACCACACCATCATAGAACACTACTTCAGGAACAAAGCAACGCAGCTTCCTGTAACAGGGAGACACTTTATCAATAGCAGAGCATCTTGCAGAAGGCTGTCACATAATAGCACTCCTCGCAGGTTTTAGTGCCTAAGCTTTTTATTATTAACTTGAAGGCCTAAAGCCATATACCAGAGCTGATGGCTACTTCTGAGTGTACTTTTCAATAAGTCTCTATGAGGCAGCTTTGCATTCAGTAGTTTATTTATAATTGTAAAAGCATAAGTGTTACATATGTCGAGTAATTGCATATTTCTTAGAATCGTACCTACACATGGGACTGCTGTGTGCAAAGACAAGACAGTCATGCTTAGATTTCCCCCCAGTAGTTTGTTGCTTTACTATTTATTCCCCTCTTCAGTTCAGTAAAGTTTCCATAGAAACAGAGTGAGGAAACAGAGATAGATAATAGCTAGAGTTATTGAAGTGTATGAAGACATCATATGAAGTCAAGGCCCTTTAGAACTACTAGTAGAGATCTGCCTAGTTTTTAAAAAGGCAAAGCCCAGACTAGGCAAAAGTTACAGCAAACAGGCAACAAGCCAAGTTACAGGTAACTCAAGCCATTTGTATTTATAGCTTCTTATGAACATCACATCATTCCAAAAGATAGCAATGGGGTACATATACACACACATATTTTAAAAAAAGATACATGTATGTATATACATTTTTTAAATAAGGCATGTATTTATTTCAGGCTCTTAAAATATTTTTCCACCCCCTTTTCCTATTAATACAGCAGATGTTGCCATTTTATTGCTAAAGAAAGCATATCATCATTGCAAGCAGAACAGCATCAGCACTGGCTTTAGTCAGCAGTCCAGTTAATAAGATTCAAGACATATATTAATAGCATGGAAGAATATTACTGATACAGAAATACAGAAGACTAGCTGAATTCTATTTGAGAGTGCACCGAATCATTCTCTTGACATAGTCTGTAGTTAACAGTATAAACCACAAAGCAGAACAGCACCATTTCAGAGCAACAGAAAGAGATACCTAAAGTACTACTTCCCCATCTCTACTTAGCTGTTATATTAAAAAAATACGCAAGGGAAGGATGAGGACACAGACTTCATCTTCTGCTCTAACACTGTTTTCTTCTGCAAGAAATGATGCAGGACTTTTGAGCTCATTCAGATGTAAATCCTACTATGAATGAATATGCACGCCGTTTTCTTTGTGTAACTAATAATAGTCACTTGTTAATATGATTTACAAGGAGCACTCTCTAAGTTTTTTGTCAGCTTGCTTCAAGGAGATCCAAGTGTTCAACATGCTTGATCGCAGTTTGGCCCACACCAAATGGTTGTTTAACCCAAATATCTGGGCAGCAAACTGAGCAGCTCCTTCAGGTGACAGAGTAGTAGGGCAGCTAAGACCTGCAGAGAAGAGAATGCCACTTATTAAAGCATAGTTTATAGTAAAAAAAACATTGCCTCTGAAGAAAAACTTAACACAAAGTTTGTTTCAGCCTCCAGGTGCAATGATCCAGTTTTAAAGCTAGTGAAGCACCTCACGTTCCACTGCTTCTAACATGACTGCTTCATGGCATTTTAAACCAAAAGCCATCAGACCAAATGATTGCCATCAGACCAAATGACTCCCCTTACTTATACAGAGGTAACAGATTTCTGGGTCCCCGGGTTGCCAAGCATCCATTCAAGTCACTAACAAAGTTAAAAATCATATAGGTAGCAATGCACTGAAGTAATAGTTAAGTGCTGAGGTCTTACCTACACCAGGTATTATTTGATCTCTGATAATAAGGAAAACACAAAAAAATTCAATTATTTAAATTACCATTAATACTATTTCCAATTTCAGACTGGAATGTTTAGGAAGGATATAGGTTTATATTTTTCTAAAGACTATTCCTATGTAATCTTTGCTCTGTCTATTGGGCTTTTTGTCATGAAGAAGTTACAGACTATACACAGTATCTTTCTAAAGACTTTGCTCAGTACTGATCCAGCTACTTTTCCACATGTGTGTATACCAGAGCAACAAAAGTAGAGCTAGATCACAACAGGAGCGTAGGCTGAAGATATCTTACCACTGGGTAGTCTGAGAGAGGACCACACATCCTGAGTGCCCCAGTCAGCTGAGAGTGGAGGGCAGTTGACAACTGGGTAAGCAGTATTACCAGACATGACTGGCCCCAAGCCATTGCTTCTGCCAGCAACTGCAACAAACACTGTTGGGATTCCATCTCCTGGTGGGGAGGAAGACATTCAGTGATAAGCAATCCACCTTGTTCTCTGCCATCTGGTTTCATGGGAACTGTATCCAAGTCCACAGTTCTGTTTGCAGTTGTTCTGTCAATTCCATTCCAGGGCACTAGAATTTTGTGTTCACCTTCCCCCTTTACAGAAATGTCTTCTAAATCTTTCAGCCTTAAATCCCATCTACTGTTTATCACGACTGAAGTTAGTATTTCTTACTCTGCCTCTGAGGGGAAATCTCAGTATCAGAGAAAGAGGTGCTGCTTAGCTTTGTAGAGAATATAGCCATTAAACCTCTGGCATCATTCAAGTGTTCCTCTCCTTAAATCTCTTAACAGTTCACCTCGAACTAAGTGTTTCTCAACAAACCACATTTGTAGTTTCACCAAGTAGAAAGTATACTGGCACAAAATAAATAGTTCCTATCTCTCATCGGCTAGGCTATAAACAGTTTTGAAAAGATTTCAAGTTTTCTTGGCAAATAGAATAATTTAAATCAAGTATCTTTTTCTCATGGCATCCAAAGTAATACGCAAGAGTATTTTCATAAAACAAGCAGGAAAGCATAGTGGGAGCAACATCTGCTTTGTAAATAACATAAGAATATTTAGAGTCAACTAGAGAAACTGTCTTTCCTCCTTGTTTCAAAAGGGCTGGAATCATCAACAAGATGCTATAATAAGTGTGTTAACATGATCAAGGCTTGGGCAAAGCAGTTGTGGTACTGAGAAAAGCAGAGGATGGAAGCTGTGTCTGGGCACTAGGACAATATATTACTCTGAAATTGCTCAGAACAGTCTATCATTATGCAGTTAGCAAGTGTGAATCAGCATTGTAACTGCTTGGTGTTGTGTTTAACAGAAAATGGAAAAACCCCACATAAATCCTCAGGTTGCCAAGTCTTTCTGGAACGTGTTTCAGTTCAAATCAGTATTTCTTTGGCATTTACCTTCATATTCTGCTTTGATCCTCAGGGTTTCATCTGGCCCTTTGTGAGCAGAGGTCACTCTTAATTCACAAGGAATTCCAAAGGTTGCACATGCCTTTTTTATTTTTTCACAGTGACTGAGGTCAGAAGGAGATCCCATCAACACCACAACTCTGCCTTGGCTCTTTGTTTTCAGAAGCAACTAGGGAGAATAGTGGAGAGGGATGGAAAGAAAAGCAGTCAGGGGGATTAAAGACATGCAGTTATCAAAGTCTAGATGTGTTGATCATAAAAACAGGTACCTCCACTCTCTCTGAAACCCATTCGAAGTTTCTCTTAACCATTTGCAGTGCTTCAGGAGTCACTTCTTTCAGGTCCCGATAGGACTGAAAAGAGGAAAATAAAAATACTGAAGTGTTGTAGTTTAACCCCAGACAGCAACCAAGCCCC